CAAATATTAAAAGAGAGAATAAATATAAAATTAGCTTATAAAGAGAAAAGCTGCATATAAATGTAGTATCCACATTGTTACACAAAATCTAAATGGTATGAGATCTGGGTCATGTTCAGGTTATTCTTCTTTGGCAGTGAAGAATTTGGGGGTGATCGAGCCAGGCTCTTCCATGAAGTTGAGGAGCTGGTGTTGGAGAGGTAACACTGTTTTTGGCACTGAGAAACTGTTCTAGGTTTATGTCTTTTCATCTGACTCCTGGGCAGACAATAGGGCACCCTCATGGGGTGCCACCCTGGGCCCTGCTGAATTGCTGAACGAGGCCCATCTGTCTCACTCTCTAGGCAGGTTGCTCCATCTTCCTGGGGTGCTGAATGAGTGAGGGGCTGAGCCCTCTGCCTGGGAAGAGGGGTGTGTTCCTGACTTAATTGTGGGAGAATGTGCTGGCAGAAATACGGAGACTAGTTTGTGTCTGGTGGATTGCCTGTCCGTCACTAAACCATGCTCTGTGACTTCTGCAAGCCAGCCCGAGGCACAGAGATACACACACACACACACACACACACACACCGCCCCATGCCTCCTGCCCTTCTACAGTGCTAGATATCTGGTAAAGGCCTTTCTCAGGCATCGTTAGGATTTCCCCTGTGACGTGGGGACCCCCGCTTGACAAGGAAGGAAATTGAAGCCCAGGGAGTTGAACAGGCTGCCCCAGGGCAGGGTAGGGCTCTGACTGGAACCCGCAGGGAGAATGAAGGGAAAGCCTTGTACTTCTATGCAGTTTGTCATGGGCTCTTTGGAGCTTTCTTTTTTTTTTTTTTTTTAAAGATTTTATTTATTTATTTGAGACAGAGAGAATGAGAGAGACAGAGAGCACATGAGAGGGGGGAGGGTCAGAGGGAGAAGCAGGCTCCCCGCCGAGCAGGGAGCCCGATGCGGGACTCAATCCAGGGACTCCAGGATCATGACCTGAGCCGAAGGCAGTCGCTTAACCAACTGAGCCACCCAGGCGCCCATCTTTGGAGCTTTCTGACAGAAGCTTTCTGAGGGGAGACCCATCCCATGAGGCTCTGATGGCAGGACCAGGAATTGATCAGCCTGACTGCCAGCCCTTTGCTGCGTGACACCATGGGTTGGGGATTGACTCTTTGCAATGTGGGAGGGGGTGGGGCAGGAGGATTGCAACGTGCATGCTTTGCACATGTGTGTTAATGTTTCAGCATTCCCATAATTTCTGATTTAGTACTGGCAATGACCTTCATTAGAGATTGGGTTCCTTCTCTAGATGGCACCCTGGGTGGCTCTGTCCTAACCTAGAGAGGCCCTCACTGCCTACCCCTTGCCCCCATAGCCTAGCTGGGCAACTTCTGCACTGCGTGCCTGAACCCCTGGCTTTGGAGCATCTTAATGGGCAGATGGGGGCCCAACCATGGGTCAACAGGGCATAATAGAGAGTCGCCTCAGCTCTGATTTTTTTTTTTTTCTATCTCAGCTCTGATTTTTGCATTTGCTGTGGATACAGTGACCAGGATGTGCCCGAATGTAAACTTCCACTCCTGGTACCCCCAAAGTCTAGGGTCATCTTCTGTCTTGATTTGGAACAGTTCAATGCCAGACCCGTCAAGCAGAAACTGTCCGGGTGGGAGAGACAACACTCCCCCTCCTCCTTCTCGTACTCCCCATCCTCCTTCCCTCGAATGTCAGATCAAAGATCTAAGGGAGAGGGTAATATATGAATACTGGAAAAGACAAGGCATGAAATGAGTGACAGCAGTACAATTTCTTCTCTGTAAAATGCAGAGAATCAGAAGACTGTTGCCTCCGGTGCACACCAGTCACCTGGGAGGTTTTTTAATAGCTCAGTTCCCGGACGGCAGCCCACCCAGACCCAGGAGATGGGAATCTTTGGGGATAGACCCAGGCAGCCAGGTTTGAAATCCCCTGGGTGATTCCGGTGTACAGCCAGTTGAGAACCATTGCTTGAAGGGTTAAAAGAGTTGGTTAACTGCTTAGGACAAAGATATGGCTGTGCACTAGAATCATAAGGACTTTTAAAATGACACTGATTCCCTGGCCACATAGTACACACCATGTAAATCAGTGGCTTCTGTGGTGTCTCTAGCTTGGCTTTCCTAGGAGCAATAAACTAGTAACAGTTGGAATAGCTATCATTCCTTAGAGCTGACTGTGGGCCAGCATTGCAGATATTTCCAGTCACCATGATTCCCTAGTAGGGAGTCATGATTCCCATTTTACAGATGAGGAAACCGATGCTCAGAGAAGGTAGCCACTTGCCCCAGGTGACAGCGTAAGTTTTCTGAGTCCAAGCCTGTTTGCCCTGGAAGGCTGCTTTTGCTGCCCAAAGCCTCGCAGCCTAGGGGCTGGCCCTCATGGAGCATATTCTACCCTCTTCCCAGTAATGGCCCAACAAGAAGGGCAAACTCATCAATGGCCCAGGCTCTCCGTGGGCTCCCCTTGGACTCCCCAGGGCAGGTTGACCGGAGGATCCCTCCCCCAGGAAGAGAGGGGAGATGAGTGGTGTTGCTTGGTATTTGGCTCTGTTATTCACCCACTCTCAAAATACCTGCTTTTAGTGGGAGGAAATGGCCTGTATATTAGGACTGACCCCCCAGTCACCTCTCATTGCCATAGTTGCTCTCACAAGGAGAAAACTCAACCAGGAAAAGCAAACACTCATTTGCTTTTTTGAGACTTTGAGGAATTTTTAAGTCATGTGATACAGAAAAATGCCTCTGTTTCCCTCATAAGTCAAAGTGGGGGGGGGGCTATCTCAAGGTGACTTGAAATATTTCTCTCTGCTTTACAAAAACTCTGCGCCTGCACGTCTGTGTTTTGTAAGCTTAAACAAAATGCTTAAAATCCTTAAGCTTTGGTTTCACCCCTCAGTCAGCTAGAAAGAATGAGCCCTGTCTGCCCTTAGGGCCGCTGATGCCAGGCCCCTGAGATGTCAGAGAAAAGAAAAGCATGACCGTCCTGACATTGAGAATCACAGTTGCCTGGGACTAGAAGCTTTGTCAGGTGTTTGTTGTCTCCCATTAAGGGACCCAATGTCCCTGAGGCCCAAAGTAGCTCCAAGGGACCAGCTGTGTTAGAGATCTCACTAACTGTGTTCACTTTGGCTTTGAGAGGCCTGGCTTCACTCCACCTGCGTCAGCCCCTCGTGTGTAGACAGCTGGGAGCCGATATCAGGTCGTAAATAGCTGAAACTTTAGAATTAGTAGACAATGTAATATAAATTTTGTTCCATAAAGCCATCCCTGTCCAGCCTAGACCAGCCCCCAAGATCTTCTCTTTCCCCAGAGCTTCCCCTCTACCTGTTGTCTGTGCCTTTGGTCCCTGCCCATTATGCCCCCGTCCAGGGCCCCACACAGGGCAGACACTCAGGCAGCACGGAGTGAATGGAGGATGAGGGGATGGAGAGATACGGGAATATGTGTCTGGTGACGTCCTAAGGTGGTTGCCATAGAATGCTATTTAAGTGTTGGCATATCTATTCCTTGCTTGCTCTACTTGACTTTTTTTTTTTTTTCCACTTAGGTTTATTTTGAAGGCTGTCTCACTGAGGATTATTCTAGGAATGGAGTGGTTCAGATGTGATGCTATTTTCTGAGGTTGAGGCAAATATCTGGAGAATTTCATTGTGTGTAACTCTTACCCCAGAGCCACTAAGAGAGTACATCCTGTGTGTGGAGTACGGTGCTCCCTTATTAAGCCATTAAGCTGAGCCTGAAAACTTTCTGAGTTCTGTCTTAAGCAGTGGCTCTTGTGGGTTCGAGAACATGGGGCACTTGGGGAAAATGATGGAAGAGGGGTGGGAGGACCCAGAAGGGGGACCACTGGCCCATCTCCAGGGATTTTGAGCTGCCCAGCCACCCTGCCCACCTGAACTGAGATGTGAACAGGAGGCTGCTGCCCTTCCCTGTGGAGTGGGCTGTCCTTGGAGTACTCAGAGAAGCTGGCTCAGGGCCACCTGCCATTGGCATGGATGCCATTTCATGGTTGCCGTATTGGTCCCCAGAGTGAAGCATTTCTAGGCTCAAACCTGAAGGGCACGAAGCACAGTCTTGACTTCTATAACTACTTAGTGGCTTTGTGGACAGTGGGCTGAGCACCGGGCTTGGCCATTAACTCTGTGTTGACCTCACACTTGTCACTTGACCTCTCCTGTGCATCAGTTTTCTAACACTTTACAACCCTGTGGTCCCATTAGCCCTCTCACCATGACGAACTCCCACTTATGGTTATTAACAGTGTTAGACTGCCTCCACCCACCCCTGCCTCCACCTGTACCCCACCAACCCAGCCAGCATGTCCTCTGGCCTTGTCGTTACTTTAAGTGCATCGCCCTCATCTTTGCTCTGTTCCCTTACTGAGGACCTGCTTTGGTCAGCTCATTGAGATTTTATTTGTTGGGAGGAGGTTGGGAGCAAAGGTACAAACATAAGAATATAGGGAATATAGAGAAATAACAATTAAATGGATGAATTTGTACTTGTATCCAGATAAGGCAGACCCAAATGAATAACTGTTACCGTTAGTATTTTGACCATGCCGATCTGATCTTTATGTTTTCCCTTTCTAATCTTTACATTACATAGTATAAGTCTCTGGACCCTGTGATTTTACCTAGTGGATACTGGACTCGGGTTCTAACTGAGACTTAGGAACAATGAGGCTGTGTCATCATCATCAAATCAATAACCTTTCAGAGCCTCAGTGGTCACATCGGTACACTGGGAATGACAATACTAACATTCATTCCTAGTAAAGGCAAAGGATTCATATAAACAAAAGGGAAGCCCAGGACCTGCCCCATCTCAGCCACGGGTTAACAGGCAGGTGGGGATGCTGGCTGGTGGCATGACTTGTCCTACCCTCGTAGAATGACTCTGATTTAGTGTGGCCTGGGGGCTGACAACTGGGTCACTTCCTAGATGGACACAGTAACACCCCGATTGTGCCGATCTGTGTCCCCACAGCGGCCAGTTTGCCATTGTGAAGAAGTGCCGAGAGAAAAGCACAGGGCTGGAGTACGCGGCCAAGTTCATCAAAAAGCGGCAGAGCCGGGCCAGCCGGCGGGGCGTGTGCCGGGAGGAGATTGAGCGGGAGGTGAGCATCCTGCGGCAGGTGCTGCACCCCAACGTCATCACGCTGCACGACGTCTTTGAGAACCGCACCGACGTGGTGCTCATCCTTGAGCTGTGAGTGGGTGCTCGGGACCCCTGGCGGGCAGCGGGGGCAGGTGGGGTGGTGGATGGTGCGACCACAGGCCCCAAAGGGCAGCAGCAAGCAGACCTAAGCTCAGCCCAGAGGCGATGAAGTCAGCGGTGGGTGATTTCCCTTGGTTACCGACCCCCCCCAACCCCCACCGCAACCTGGGTCAAAGGTAGGTGGGTTTGCTGAGTAGCAGGGACAGAGGGCTAGGGTCTAGGTCTGGCTTTCATTGGACCCTGGGGATAAAAGGGAAGCAATGGCTGGTGCTGGGGTCGTTTCCTGGCTGGAGAGCACGTGGGAGGACGGTGGGGGGCGGGGTGTAAGAAGGCAGTGGGAGGGAAGGAGAGGCTGCCCGGGAGTGGTCTTCTCTATGAGGAGGAGAGAAGCAAACATCTTCCAGGCTCTGCAAAGCCCTTCTCCAGCGCTTTCCTGGGGGGAAAAAAAATCCCCACATTTGTGCTCTTTGATGCCTTCATTATCATAATAATAGCTATAATTGAGAGAGCCCTACCGAAAGCCAACCATTTGTCAGGTGCTTCATGTTTGCCATCTTGTTCAGTCCTCACAGAGACTCTTGAGGAAAGTGTCCTACTAACATGGAGGGGTTCCTTTGTATTCACTGTACTGAGCACTTCTCTTACCTTACTTAATCTTCCTAACAATCTTCTCACACAGAGGTTCTTATTATCCCCATTTTACAGACAAGAACTTGAGTCCACACTGCTTGTGTGGACAGCTATGAGCATGAGGTGGCCTTCTGCTGGCCTAGCCGGGGAAGATGTCACAGTCTGGTGATACCAAGACTCCAGGGGTTGGCCACCTGGTGTCCCTCCTGGACGTGTGTCCATGGAATGGGGAGATGGGGCCCTGGCAGACAACAGAGTTTGAGTTGGACTGTGGCACAAGTCACAATGGCTGTGACCAGTCAAGCAGCAAGACCGCTGTTGGGAATGTTCTGAGCCTCAGAGGCATGCATCTGCTGGTTAACAGAGGGGTGGTGGCATTTGTTTGATAATCCCTGACTTTGTGACCTTGGGCAAATCACCTCCCTCCTTTGAGCTTCAGCTCTCATCTGTACATGCGGCAGCCATCCTTAGCCTGCCTACAGGTTGGGTGGACCACCTGACATTTGAAATAAGTCTAATTTGAGAGCTAAGCCCTTGTCTTACCAGGATATAGATTTATGTAGCAGATGGGCATTTGCATACTCTTGCATTTGATGCTTAAATTATCCATCTCACTGTTTAAATGCATAGGCTCACCCCTGCTATTCCTTTCTCACTCCAGCGTCTTCCACTTCTCTCCCATGGACCTCTCAGTCAGTTGCACTAGTTGGCGTAGACACTGCCTGACTCAGCAAGCCTGGGAGCGTCCCGCAGGTGTGGTCAGCCATGTGGACAGCCCGAGGTGTGGCATGCCGTGGGGCTCAGGGTCAGCAGTGGGCACACTGGTTCCCAGCAGAGTGACAAGCCCACCTCTGCTGGGAAGGCGAGGCCACTGCCTTAAAAAACTTTCCAGCAACTGAAAAGAAATTACATTCATAATCCTACTGCCCAAACAAAACACCCATTTGTGTTTTCTGTGGTTCCTCTTAGTCTTTATCTATTTGTATAGAATCATTGCACTTGTACAATTTCTTGCTCTACTTTTCCCCCTCAGTTAGCATAATTTCACAAAAAGGTTTTTTCTTTTAACTGAGGGTTTCATGTTTCATTGAATCACATACTTGTATATCCCTATTGTTGGACATTTGGTTTTTATTTCCACAGCTTTTAACCATTACAGATTTTATTGCCATAAAACAACTTTCTTCCCATAATTTCCCACTTTTCTTTTGAATTAATCCTTTTGGATCAATCCCCAGGAGGGGGATGACCAGGCTGACATTTGTGGGGCTCTTGATATCCTTACTTTCACAGGACGGTGTTAGTTAACCAGCATGACCTACAATATAGGAACATTCCTATTTGCCTGCAGCCTTGCCAGCCCTGGGTCATTTGTTTTAAAGCAGGATTCATTATTTATCGACCTTTATAGTTATAAAATGATTCTTTCTTGTCATTTTTATTTTTATAAAATTAAAGAATTTTATTCTTTAATTGCTTGGGAAATCGCCTGCTTCTCCCTGCTCGTAGAACCCTAGGAGTTGGGGTCTGGGGTGCTCTTGAGATGTCCCTGTTCCTCCCAGCAAGGCTCGTGATCAGCAATGGTTATGTGCCCTCTTCTAGTAAGCTGTCACCGTCCACACCACCAGTTGCACACTGGTCTCACACTGGTGACTTGCATGAGCTGCCATGCTTGCTCAGATGTGTGTATTCATATTCTCTGTCTCATTTTCTTTCAAGCTGTCTCACTGTTCTCAGGGTGCCTGTCTAGGGAGTGCTAGGGATTGCCAAGGCCCTGCTGAAACCATATGTGCCCGGGGTCTGAGAGGGAGGACCTCCTGAGAGAGAAGGGCTTTTCGTGGGCTTTTGTGTTTGGACTTGGTGACCCCTGTTGGGCTGATCAGCAGCCTTTGGCTGCCCGGTCCTCATGGTGCCCTAATAGGTCAATGGGTTTGCCCAGTGCGGAAACATGAGTATTAGTGCCTGCCTGTTCCGTTGAAATGGCAGGTTTTGTGGATGGGCCTATCCCAGTCCCACTGCCCCTCTTAGCAACCTGTGGTCTGGTGCCGGGCATGCTCTGCTTTCTGCTAAAGTGACCGGTGCTCAGAGGACATGCCCAGCCCTGATTTGAGTCCCTTTTAGCTGTTGTTACCCCATCCATGACCTTCTTAGCAGCAGCTGCCTCTGGTTCAGGGCTGTTGAAGGCAAGAATGGGAAGGATTCAGTTTTTCCATATAAGTTGACTTCTGTAGAGCATAAAGGATGTTTTCAAAATCCCAGTAGATTAACTCATGTCATATGTGGAGCGTGCTATGGAAAATGTGTCAGCCCTGGGAGGGTTGGACAGGCCTTCCATCCAGGCCCGTGACGGCTCTGGGGCCTCCCCGACTCCCAGCGAACAGAAAGCAAGAGCCTGGGAGAGTGACCTGACAGAGCACCCCAGGGTGTCGCCAGTGCTTCCCAGTACCCCCAGTTGAGTGCGGCTTCCTCGGCCTGAGCCGCTCCAGCAACATCCTTCCCTAATCACTGCCTCTGCAGGTCGTTTCAGCACACGTTCACAAAAGAGTCAGAAAAGCGTTTCTAGCAGGCAGAGCAACCTGCGAGAAGGAAGATCAGCTGAGCGGGAAAGGGACTGATCCCGGGGATGCTGAGAGGAGAGCAGAAGAGGCTCAGACTGTTAGGTTTTGCTTTTCATCTTTAAGCTAAAGAGGTTTGGGATGCGAGAGGGGAGACATTTGGGAGGAGACAGGGAGCTGGGGCTGAGAAACCCTTGGGAAAAGCTATGTTAGGGGGAAAATGAACAAAACCTTGAGGAGAGCTGCCTGAGCATGGATGTGAGTTTCCCCAGCGTGGGTGTCCGGTTTGGACATTTACCCCAGTGGGCTCATCAGCCTCCCACCTTTCCAGGACTCTGGGGGAGATTCTGAGGACCTTTGTGGCTATTCCTTTATCCAAAGGAGACCATGTCTTAACTGGTCTCCTGCCCAGATCACACCTTCAAACAGAATGGCTGATTACTGCCTCCCAAAGTCCTCACCCAGCCTGGGCCTTCACATCAGCAGCTCTGGGTGACAGGACACACCCCCATTATCATGAGATTCTTTTACACTTAGGCAGCATTCTATTTAAGGTAGGAAGAGTAGGATATGCCTGAGGCCAGAGGCTCACAGGACCCAGCAGCGGCTGGAAGGACAGAAAACAAGGGCCAGGTGGCGTTCTGTGTTTCAGAGGGGGGCACTGTGGATTTGAACATTTGCACAGGGCTCCGGACAGGTCTCTTGCCAATGCCAAGGTGTCACTTCTATATGATACAGAATATTCTATATCACGTTGATAGATTTAATGCTTTTTTTCCCCTTTGTTCTTTTATCCGCCTACCTTCTATTGAATGCCTCTGTTACACAAGGTGCTGTGGAAGCAAAGATAACCTAGCTGGGGAGAGAGACAGACAGGTAAAAACAGCGTGGTATGATGAGGGCTCGAATGCGAGTGTGGCTGAATGGGATGTGTGAGCACCACCCACTACTTGGGGTGGCTTTGAACTTTCCTCATTGCACCAACTCAGGCTTTATAATGGGGAGACAGTGTGGTGAGAAAGACACATGGTGGGCTGGGGCTGAGAAGATCTGGCTCTAAATCCTGTTTCTGTGACTGACTGTGTGACCTTGGGCAAGTCACTTGCTCCCTTGGCACCTCGGTTTCTCATTTGAAAAATCAGGACAGGGCGCCTGGGTGGCTCAGTTGGTTAAGCGACTGCCTTCGGCTCAGGTCATGATCCTGGAGTCCTGGATCGAGTCCCACATCGGGCTCCCTGCTCGGCAGGGAGCCTGCTTCTGCCTCTGACCCTCCCCCCTCTCATGTGCTCTCTTTCTCATTCTCTCTGTCTCAAATAAATAAATAAAATCTTTAAAAAAAAAAAAAAAATCAGGACAGAAGTCCCATCTACCCCTCCAGGAGGATGTGAGTCTCAAGGAAGAGAATGCTTGGGGAAGCACATTGCACAGGCGGCAAACTTAGAGTAAACTCGGAATCAAATGCCCTTCCACCACTACCACGCCTGGTATCAATATGGTGCGTGGTATTTACTTCCAGGACTTTACCAAGGGTCTCATAGCACTTGTCCAACTCTACAGCAAGATTCTGCCCTCCCGGGGCCAATAGGCTGGGTTTTTCCCTCATTCCTGTTTTTTTTTTCTTTTAACTCTTTTTTTTTTTTTAATGATTTATTTACTTACTCGAGAGAGAGAGACAGAGTGCATGAGCAGGGGGAGGGGCAGAAGGAGAGGGGAGGCAGATTCCCGGCTGAGCGCAGAGCCTGATGCAGGGCTTGATCCCACCACCCCAAGATCATGACGTGAGCCAAAATCAAGAGTTGGACACTTAATCAACTGAGCCCCCCAGGCACCCCATCCTCATTCCTGTTTTGCAAGAAGAAAAGCTAGGCCCTGGGACTCTCCTGTGCCACATCCCCAGGGAAAGGTTGGCTCTATAGGAAAAGATTGGGACCACCGTCCTGGCCCTTTGACCAGACTCAGGGTTTCTCCTTCAGCAGCTAAGAGGGGGCTCCACTTTCCAGCACCTGCCCAGGTGGGAGTGGGGCAGAAGATGGCCTCACCCTTGAGACACATGGAAAAATAGTGCACCAGCCTCATGCCCAACACTGAGGCAGCCACTGTGGGCTGCATCCAGCTGAGCGGCTCTAGCAGACGGCACATTCTCAGGCACCAGCTCACCGGTGCCTCTCTCAGGCTCTCTTCACCCCTTGAGCACCACTCCCCACTTTCTCTAAATATTTACTCAGCATCTATTATGTGGTAGACACTAGACATAAAGATGAGGACCTGGTTCACGGCTCCTGCCCTTGAGAAGCTCACGCCCCAGCAGGAGCAAAGGCTTCCGACATTCGTCTGTCTGCCAGAGGGAGCTATTTTTAACCCCATTTGACAGATGAGACTGAGGTGGAGAGTGATGCGCTAGGCAGTGACAGAACCAGCATGCCAGCAGGCGTGCCCGTCCCCTCCCAGGCCAGCCAGCGCTCGGGGACTTCCTGCCACATGCATGCCCTGTGCGCGGCCCCGTCTCTGTGCCTTTGCTCGTGCTGTCTGCCTTGCTCCCTCCGTCCAGGCCCTCCCCGAGCCTCACTGCATCCCCAGCGCCCTCTCCCACACTAACCACATGTGGCAAACAGTAACGTCACGGCGGAAGCCCCTGCTGGTGGAGTGCTGGCACGCGCCGGTCACCGGGCTGAGTGCCTTGCACCAACTCATTTGCTCTTCAGAACGACATGAGCACCAGTCCCCAACAGACACTGCTGAGAGAGGTAGGGCAGCTCGTCTCCCGTCACACGTTAGTTGGAGAAGACAGTGTTGGACGGCGGCCGGGGCCCGGACATGACCTTGACCGCACACTCCCCTGCTGGGAGACCTTGCACGGCCACTTCCCCTCCTGTGGGCCTCAGTGTCCTCATCTGTTATGGAGGAACTGCCAGGTGGTGATGGTCATCATGTGGGAGGGCAGCTGAGGGAGATGGCTGAGACTGCCCTCCCCTCCCCCTTCCCCCGTGGGAGTTTACTCTTGACTTCTGATTATGGTGGATTTCAAACATACACAAAAGTAGAGAGAATAGTGTGAGGAACCCTCATATGCCCATCAACGTTTTGCCAGTCTTGTTTTATATAAAACTCCTACTCTTCCACCTGCCCCCACTCCAACTGTTTGTTTGTTTGCTGGAATATTTTAGAGCAACTCTGAGACATCATGTCACTTTACGTATAAATACTCTAGTGTGCATCTCTCGCTGATGATGGTTTTTAAAAATGTGGCCTTCATATATCTATTACATCTGAAGGAATTATCCAGCCGGGCCTCGGGACCACCGAGGCTGTCTACACTCCAGTCCATAGTGATATTTTTCTGATAGACCCAAAGATATCTTCTTACGGTTGTTTTATTTGAATTAGCAACCAAATGAGGTCCATCTACTGCATCTGGTTCTTTTGTGTCTTCTGTCTCCTTTCTCCTATAGCAGTTCTCCTTCCCCTTCTTTCTCGATGCTATTGATTTGTTGGAAAAACTAGGTCATTTGTCCCGTTGATTATCTCACAGCCTGGATTTGGCTTATTCCCTCCTCATGCTGTTAGTAAACTTATTCCTCTATGTCTTGCATTTCCTATAACCTAATAGTTAGATCTAAATAAGATGCTCTCCGTATTGGCGCTGTTCAAGAGAAATATAATATGAGCCATATATGTGATTTGAGATTTTCTACTAGCCACATTGAATCAGAAGTAAAAAGAAATAGGTGAACTAATTTTCATCGTATTTTTTATTTAATCCAATATATACAAAATATTATTTTAACACGTAATCGATATAAAAACCATTAATGAGATATTTTACATTCTTTTTTCCATATTCCATCTTCAAAACCCAGCATGGTTTTTACACTTACAGCACATTTAGTTCATTCTCAGTGTCATGGTTAGTGTGAAATACAATCCTATCAAAACAATAAAGTTGTGTTTGCAGGAAAATATTTTATACCACTTCAGTTTTTGAATTAAAGTGACTTCAAAATGGGGTGCCTGGGTGGCTCAGTTGGTTAAGCAGCTGCCTTCGGCTCAGGTCATGATCCCAGGGTCCTGGGATCAAGCTCCACATTGGGCTCACTGCTCAGCAGGAAGCCTGCTTCTCCCTCTCCCACTCCCCCTGCTTGTGCTCTCTCTCTCTCAAATAAATAAATAAATAAAATCTTAAAAAAATAAATAAAATAAAATACTTCAAATGAAATAAGATTTAAAATTCAGTTCCTGGGTTGCACTAGCCATGTTTCAGATGCCCAGTAGCCACGTGTGACTAGTGGCTGTTCGATTGGACAGTGTTCATAGAGCACATTTCCATCACTGCAGAAAGCTCTGTTGGATAGCACTGAGCGAGAGGCTTAAGCGGATGTAGGCGTGAGATAAGTTCATAGGTGTTGCTGTGTACTTACCTGTGGTACCCATCGTGTCCTGTGGGTCTGTTTTTCATGATGCTGAGATTGATTAGTGGGTCCGTGGGTGCTTCTGGACATTTTTAAAGAAAGGAGAAAAAGGAAATTTTGGTGCTCTTTGTTTAGGATGAACTAGGTGGCAGGGAATGAGTGATTCCCCCAAACTGGGACAGAAGCCATTCTGGCCATGTAAGAATCATCTGAGGACACTCAGTATGAGATAGTGGTTGAAAGTCATTCTGCCTGGGTTTGAATCCTGACTGCCACTTACTAGCTCCATGACCTTGGGCAAGTCACTTAACCTCACTGAGCCTCTGTTTTTTTTTCAGCTGTGAAATAGGAAAATACTAGGACTTAGCTCATAAGGTATTGTGATGGTTAAATGATATAATGTGCCTAAAGTACACATTATGCACAGAGTAAGTATTCAATGAATATGAATTACTGGTATTATGTTATTGTAAAAATACAGGTTCCAAGGCTTGGGGGCTGGAGAATCTAATTTGTTAGGGTCTGTGGTAGGACCTGGGATCTGCATTTTAAACAGGTTCTCCAGGTGATCCTGAGTTCTTGGACCCCCTAGCCCAGATCCCTTCCCAATATCTTTCCCTGGGACGACCCTTGGCTCTGTCCCAGTCCCAGAGAAGCACATCCTGGCTGGATACCCCAGCATCCATCAGAGGACAAACAAGCTCAGTAGGGTTGTCAGATTTAGCAAATAAATATCCCTTATTTTATCTGGCAACCCCACATCTCTAATTCAGATAAAACTGTAAACCAGTATTTACAAGGGAGGTTGTTTTTGCTCTGTGGGCCTCCATTCCTGCCATACCTACCATAAGGTGTGAGAGTGGGGAGTGTGAGGACAAAAGTAGCATTTTCAGATTTTTAGATGGGTCTAGAATCCATGCCTAGATTCTCTTGAGCTTTGAAGAGGCCATCTTTTGTAAAATCAAAGAAAGGGCTTTAAGAGCCATCTTACTCAACCTGCTCATTTTGCAGGTAAGGAAACTAAGGTCTGCCTGGAAGGTAAGTGAGTTGTCCAAGGTCAGTGGCAGGGCTGGACTAGAACCTAGGTCTCCAGTTTCTGGCCCAGCATACGTTCCTCTTTGTCATCCCAGCACTTACTTCTGTCCTCTGCCCCTTCAGTCATGGGGTGGGGAGAGATAACACCCAGGGTAACCCGAGGCCCCCCTGGTGACTCCCCAAGAGCGGTTCCTACTCTTGTGATCCAAAGGGAAGAATACAGCGAATAGAAGCAAAGTCAGTTCTTGGGTGCTGGCTGGACAGAGCCCCAGAGATGGGTGAGGGGATCCCACTGTCTGTCCAGATGGTGGGGGTCAGGTTCAGGAGCTGCACCCATGGCCTGGCCTCTTAACACACAGGGCTGACCGGGCCTGCCCCCCCTCCCCTCACCGGTGTCTTGCAGAGTGTCGGGAGGAGAGCTCTTCGACTTCCTGGCCCAGAAGGAGTCGCTGAGTGAGGAGGAGGCCACCAGCTTCATCAAGCAGATCCTGGAGGGTGTGAACTACCTTCATGCCAGGAAAATCGCTCACTTTGATCTCAAGGTCAGTGAGGGGATGAGGGAGAAGAATCATTTTAGGAAGAACGGGCCCAGTCACTTCTGACATCACTGCTAGGAAGGGCTCAGTGTCCCTCTGGCCCTCCTCCCTTGTCTTGCCATGGAAAGCTCTGAGCTCCTAGGAAAGAAATGATGCCACAGAAGGCGTCCCTCTCCTCAGTTTCATTTTGCAGATTGGGCTTTCTTCACATAGGGGCTGACGGCAAGAAGCTGCTTCTTCAGACCATAGGTACCTTATCTCTTTCAGGCAGTAGGTGGGGTGTCATTTTTAAATAGTAGACCACTTACAGGAAACGTGAAACCAAACACATTTCACAAGGCTGGACTCTTCAGTAGCCAAGAGCTAACTCATGAGGAGGCAGAAGTGTTAGCGTTCGGGCGAGGACTGCTGAGGTTGGCTGGCTCTCTGCCCCCCTCCGCCGCCCCACAGCCTCCAGCACCCCTGGCCCAGAGGCCATCAGTCTTGGAGCCTAGGGACCGCTGGCTACCCTCCCTGTTCCCATCCCCTACTGCGGCCCAAAACTGCTTCCAAGGGGTACTGATCATTTGTGGTAACTGGTGTTCAGGGTCGAGAAAGTTCACTGTGACCACATAGGACCTCAGAAAGCAAGAGTGTGGTCAAAGTAGAAGGATCAGTTCCCATAGTAACTGAGCTCAGTTTAGTGGACTGATAAGCCTTTACAGACACCCGAAGCATAAAGATCCTCTAACCCGTGATCAGAGGGACCTATTTACTGGGGTGAAGACCTACTCAGTTTTCTATCCAGAAATTCCTGTTTGTTTCAAGCATTGTGCCATGTGCCTGGGTACTGCTGCAGATACAAAACCAGCTGAGGCCCTGTCTGGGCTCAGTTCCTCTTTTCTAGGAAACCTAGTACAGGAGACAGAAAAGATCAACAACTCTAAGTGCTATGATAGAAGGACGTATAGGGGAGCTGGGGAGCTCAAAGGAGAAGGCATCAAAGTCAGACTGCAGTATCCGAGAGGGCTTCCTGGAAGAGGTGATATTTGAGTTGAATTTAGAAGGACTGGCAGGGGTTACCAGAGGGGAAGGGTCTTCTAAGGAAGAGAGGCCAGCAGTGTACATGGTCTGGAAATGGCACAATGCATTCAGGGGCGTACAGGCAAAGGGTGGATGTTCCGAATGGCTGGAGAAACAAGCCAGGAGGAGAGCAGAAGGCAGACACAAGGGCATGAGAGCCAAACCAAAGAGGTTGAACTTTACCCTGAGGGATACAGAGTCGGCGGGGGAGCAGGTGATCAGGGGGGTGAGGCGAGCGGAGGTGTTTCAGAAGGATCTCTCTGGCTGGAAGGCTGGGGAGAATGGGGACACCTGGAGGCTGGGGTCCCAGCTGGGAGGCTCGTGCAGTAATCTGGGTGAGGGTGTCCTTTGGTAATGCACCGAGCAGGAAACGGTCTACCTGGATTGCACTTGTGTCTCCCTCCTGACGGTACTATGGACAGTTAACTTGTCGTTTCCTGTGTCTTTACTGGCTCCAGGAGCCTGGCCTCAAAGTGGGCTCCTTTGGCTTTTCTCCGCCAGATCTGGTAGAGGTAGGAGGAGTTGTAATCCCATGGGTACCAAGACAGCAGCAGCTTCATGCTGTTTAATCTGCTTGTGTGGCCACTGGGGGGTGGGGAGGGCCGGCTTGGAGGCGGCCAGGTCGGGGTTTGGTCTTCATTCTGCTGTATACCAGGACGCAGCTGAACCTCAGTCCTTCAGCTTCAGCGCAGATCATCCCTCCCTGGCACAGTTGTTGCAAGGGTTAGAGAGAAGCAGCATTACGTGCCGGCTCCCAGAGAGCGCTCTGTAATAGTCCCTGCTATTGTTATTTCCCCTCCCAGAGCAGAGGAAAGGAAAACACAACTCTCATTACAGGATTCTGGGCCCATTAGACTAGGAAAACAGGCCTGCTAGTGCAGTTCTCCGTTTCCCAGCAGAGAGCTGAGATTGGTTGCTGCTGGGGCATGTCGGGCTCCTGGGCTCAGTCTGGCTGCTTTCCACGACCTGGAGACAGTCTGGGTTTGCCCCGGATGTGTGCAGGGCGAGGATGCTGCTAACCCCCATCTTGGCCTCCTGTCCTTAGAGCTGTGCAGACTCTGAGCCTTCTGTCCCCTCCGCCCCTGTCCGTGGTCCCTTGGCACAGGCCCAGCTGAGCAACTTCAGGAAGTGATGAGTAGCTGCATTACCTCATGATGGGGTAGACACTTCCTGGAGCCAGAATATGGGTATGCTTACCCCTGGCTGGAACTTTCCCCCAGCTGGAAGGGATGATGTAGAAAGTCCCCCTGGTAGCTTAGAGGAGGGTTCTCGGTTCCATGTTGTTTCCCATCATCCAGAAATCATTTTACACAAATATGTTTTTCTTCCTGATTTTCATTCTCTATGAGGTGCCTCTGCTTTCCTCAACTCTTGTATTCTCTTGCTCCTCACCAAGTGAGTCAGGCTAGCCTCGTGGTCCCATGAACACAGCCGCCCTGTTGTCTCCAGGCCCCTACCCGTGACCTGCTCTCCATGCTCCTCTTCTGGCTTGAAGGAGCAGGTGATGGAGGAGGGGCAGCTCTCGCCTGCCTCTGGAATATACGAACGGCTTCTCCTGGGGCTGCTAGCTGATAAGCTTCTCCTGTGTTTAGTCACGGCGCTAGAGAGGTGAGGCCCTCTCCCGGCTTATGACACGCTCCCAGCCTTGTGGCAGAGAGCAATAAATGGACAAATTAACGTATGATAAGCAGTCTTGGGAAAACAGATCGAGGCAGTCTACTGCCCAGAGATCTGTGATGGGCCCTTGTCATCTGTAGGATAAATGAACCCATGGTCAGCATGGCATTCAGGCCTTTCGTACACTGCCTCAGCCCTGATTCTGACCTCATCCACTTTCCCCCACTCCAAAACACTAGCCCCAGGCAACAAGAGGACAGATCCACATTCTGGCCTTTCTCCTCCTCTGTTCATGCTGTTCCCACCCAGGAAGCCCCTGCTCTTCCTTTCCTCTGTCCATGGACTTCCTTCCTGCTCATCCTTCTAGGCCCAGCAGAAAGCCTATTTCCTCTGGGAAGGCGTTACCATCTCTGCTCCCCACCAAAGCATAACTAAGAATGAACCTGCCTCTCTGCTTCTGTTGCCCTTTGTACAGCCCTCTGGTGAGAGTATCTGTCACTGTCAGTCATTTTCTGCTGCTTATATCTAGCACCGTCCCTGGCACATGAAGAGTTACTCAGTGTTGAATGAGTGAGTAAATGAAGGCATGAACGCCTTAGTAAGACCAGTGCATGCATGGAAGGCAAAGGCCCTTTCATGTCACCTGGAAAATGCAAAAGAGGTTACAGGCAGGTTTCAGTCCAATGATGTGAACATTTTTTTTTAAAGATTTATTTATTTATTTATTTATTTATTTATTTATTTGACAGAGAGAGAGAGAGCGAGAGAGGGAACACAAGCAGGGGGAGTGGGAGAGGGAGAAGCAGGCTTCCCGCCGAGCAGGGAGCGTGACGCGGGGCTCGATCCCCGGACCCCAGGATCGTGACCTCAGCCGAAGGCAGACGCCCAACGACTGAGCCACCCAGGCACCCCGATGTGAACATTTATTGAGGGGCTACTGTATGCCCAGGGGTAGAGTGTCAGACATCAGTGTGATATGGCACCTCCCTTCCAAGGGCCCACTGTCTACCAGGAGATGGCCATGGCGGGACTCGGTGGGGAGGCCACCTGAAATGAAAGCTAACCATGAGTCTTGCCAACAAGAGCTCACTTTCGGGGGTAAGCGTTCTGCCTCAGCAGAGGGAATAGCATGCCAGTGTGAGTTGTAAATACACCCCAGGAAGGCCCGTTGATGTGGGAGGTTGTGGGTGGTGAAGGTAGATGATGTTGCCCTGTATTTACATGGATGGAAGGAACCCTGGGGCTGACTGCCCCCAGCACCAGGTAGCACCCAGTGTGCCTTCAGACATGGCGTCTGCGGGGTGCATTACCAGGAAGGAGGTTTCAGTACCACTCAGGAACCTCACCCTGGTATGCCATCCCAACACAAATGAAGGCCTTGTAGAGGGCGGATTTGTGTGGTTTTGTGTTTATTTTGCATTTGGGAGTTTCTCTTCTGAGTATGGGTGTGTCTTCCCTACACCCCAAACCCAACTGGAGAATTCAAAAATGGAAAGTTGTCCTCGGGTCTGACTGGTATTTTCAGCAAAAAGAACATGCCGTGAGGATTAAATGAAATTATATGCAAGCCAGGAACCCAGAACTCTCATGGGGCTTTTTGGTTTATATAAATAGTATAAGAAGTGAATTTCTGAACAAAGTACCCCCCAAATCCAAATTCCTCTATGCCCTGATCGTCCTTTGAGTTATTTTTATGTTTGTGACATGATGGGGTCTGCTCATCAAGCTTTCACAGAAATGATACTAATAATACTTTGAATGTTTATGGCACTTTCTGGAATATAGTATGCTTACACATTTGTTCTCTCATTTGATCCTCATGACCACTCATGGAGGTACAAAGTATTGTCCTTTTTTTACACACAAGGCAATTGAGATTCAGAGAGGTTAAGTAACTTGTCCAAGATCACGCAGGGATTAAATAACAGAGCTGGGGCTTAAACTTAGCCAATGAGGAAACACTAAGCCAAGCTGGGTGCCACTAGGTTTTCTTTCCCCAGATTCTGACAGTGTAGATTTCTTACTTCCTTGGGCCATGCCTCTGACACAGCATTAATCCAAAGGTCTGTATTGTGCCATGCATTTCTCTTTCACACAGTTCATATCTCATCTGGTTACATTGTTTTTTATTTCTAATAAGTTATTCCTCATATTTTAAAAAATGTATATTTTATTAGTTGCTATAAAATGTGCATGCATTTGAAAGTAGAACTTATAAGAATGAGGCTGTTTCCATACTAAAACCTGGCAACATGAAGCAAAGGTAAAGCATGGTAGAGATTTAACTGTCGGGATAGAGTAGGGTGAAATTGTGAAGTTTCAGGGCA